AAATTATTATTAGATAAATCTGATAAATCTAATGAGAGGACTTATAGTGGTGTTATCCTAGGGGACTTTCTTTTTCTTCTTTTAGTTATAAATTGCCACAATACCTTTTTTTTTTTTTAAAGAGAGAGAGAGAGGGAGAGAGAGAATTTTTTTTTTAATATTTATTTTTTAGTTATCAGCGGACACAACATCTTTGTTTGTATGTGGTGCTGAGGATCAAACCCGGGCCTCACGCATGGCAGGCGAGCACGCTACCACTTGAGCCACATCCCCAGCCCAATACCTTTATTTTTTATGTGGTGCAGAGGATCAAACCAGTGCTTCATATGTCAGGCAAGTGCTCTACCACTGAGCCACCCTGTCACTTACCCGGGGTATTTTCAATGGTAGTTTTTATTTGTCTGTTTCTTGGCACCAGGATTGAACTCAAGGGTGCTCAGCCACTGAACCATCTCCCCAGTCCTTTAATATATTTTATTTAGAGACAGGGTCTCACTGAGTTGCTTAGGGCCTCGCTATGTTGCTTAGGCTGGCTTTGAACTCACGGTCGTCCAGCCTCAGGCTCCCGAGCAGCTGGGATTACAGGCATGCACCACTGCACCTGGCTCAAAGGTAGTTTTGAATGTTTTTTCACTCCATATGCTGACATTAGAAATCATAACTCTCATATCCTTTCTTCTGTCAGTCTCCTATTAAGTCATAACAAGGTAAACATACTGAAAAGTGTGTTTGGAATAATCAAAATGTAGCTAGGCAAAAGTTTAAGTGCAGAAGACAACTTAAAATCCTCAGCATTTAGCATGAAGCTAGGCATTTGAACTTTTTTGTATTATCACTATTCTACCAAGTTGGAAAATTTTCTATGACTTGTTACTGTGTAACTTGTCTCCTGATTAGAATTTGACAGATACATCATTTCTTATCCATCACAAGCAGTAGCAAAATCCTATAGATTTTATTTCATTTTCTAACTTAAAAGTATCACTATCTACTTTTTTTTAGTTTATTTGTTATAGCTGGAAATTATTTCTTCCTTTCCATGCCCACTGCTGCCCACTTTAGCTAACACTGATATTCTCTCATATCTGAATCATAACAATGTGTCCCAACTGGTTTTTCATTACCAAACTTACACAGTATTGCCAATCTAATTGTGTTTCTAAGAAAATTTCAAAGTGGTATGTGTTTAATAATAACTACTAATAAGTATATAGTATTTGCTAGGCACAGTGTTAAGCACTTGAATTATTTTCTCATCTTTTACATTCTCTAAGATTTACCAAAAAATTGGGAGGAGGGATTTAACAGCTTTGTTGAGATATAATTTTTATATATAATCGTACAATGCAAGGATTTTTAGTATAATCAAAGAATTGTGCAATCAGTTTTAGAATGGTTACATCACTCCAAAAAGAAACGCCATATCCTCTACCATAATAAAATCCCCATCTTACTTATTGATATGTAGCCATTAATTAATTTTCTGTCTTCATAGATTTGTCTATTCTGGACATTTCATATAAATGCACTTATACTATGTGTTCTTTTGATTGCCTTCTTTCTCTTAACATAATATTTTCAAGGTTCATTCATGTTGTAGCATGAATCAGTACTTTATTCCTTTTTATGACCAAGTAGTATTTCTTTGTATGCATCACATCTTATTTATACATTTTAAAATCGATTATGAATTATATTATTATGAGTAATACTGCTATGAATATTCATGTATATACAGATTTTTTCATTTCTCATGGTTATAGACCATTGATTAGAATTCAAGGATTAAATGGTAACTCAGTGTTTAAATTTTTTTTTTAAAGAGAGAGAGAGAGAGAGAGAGAGAGAGAG